TAGGCATTTGCTACGACTTATATCCAAGCAACAATAGTACACCTCGAAACCCAAAGCGGCTACCTAAACCTAGCTTCTGTATACTGCCCACCGCGCCGCTCTATTAACGAAGCAGAATTTTCTAACTTCTTTGATGTATGTACAATGCAAAGCACACACACTGGGTTTCTCGACTCACCAACTCCAAGGGAATACAACTTTACAACGCGATAATAACTCCACGAAACAAGCTTGACTTAATTTCAACGGAACGCCTACGTATTGGCCCACAGATACAAATAAGAAGCCTGACCTGATTGATTTTGCTGTCGCACGAAGAGTGCCGCAGGCCATGTTCGTGTGGAACACTTATCAGATCTATCAGCAGATCACTCGCCCATCTTGCTTTATCTCTATCAGGTCACACAACGCCCACATTCTCTAACTACTGGTAAAACAGACTGGCATAAATATAGTATGTATGTAAGTACTTATATTGATGACTATCCAAACATTTCCTGTGAAGAAGACCTTGACAATTTAGTTGAAGCGTTATTGAAAATTATTACACTGGCTGCACAACATTCCACACAATCTGTAACATATAATAAGCCATTTAACAGCAGACGTGCTTCTAGCCACATTGAAGAACTGCTGTAGAATAAGCCTTCAAGGAGCGCCTAAAATAGCAAACTACATACTTCGCAAAGCACTAGAAGATGAGAAAAATAGAGCTCAACGTATATGAAGCAACTCTCACTAAACAGCAAAAGATATCCACTGTGGAAAGCTAATTCAGGCATATGTCATCCAATAAAATGTGAATCATCCTTATTTCAAAAATTGGCCCCGCAGCAACGAGGAGAGGCCGAATACATTTCCCATACATATAAAAAATGTCTTCAAACCACTTCCATGCAACGAATAGCTTTGTGCTCCCAATAATCACCAATCCTGAAGCTAGCCCCCAAATTGTATTTCATCCAGAAGAAGTTACAAGAGTCATAAAGTCCCAAGACAAAAGGAAAGCGCCGGGTCACGATCTCATCACCCCAAAAATGATTATAGAACTGCCAGACTATGCAATACATCTTCTAACTATAATATTTAACAGCATGATGAATTGGGGATATTATCCTCAACAATAGAAAAAGTCTGTCATCACAATGAACCTTAACCCGGAAACCATAAACACATCGACATACAGGCCAATCAGCATTCTACCGTGCCTATCAAAAATATTTGAAAAGCTGATCCTCAGTCGCATCAAGTTAGCCCACAATGCAATACTAATGCCGAAAAACACGGAACTATTGAACAAATGAACCGGATAACCTCCATTATACGAAATGCATTTGAAAGACGTCTTTCTGGATGTCGCACAGGCTATCTTCCGCGTGTGGATGGACGGCTTAATTCATAAAATCAAATTAATACTTCCACAAAGCACCAATACAATTTTTAGGTCCTACCTATAGAAAAGAAGCTTCGCAGTGCAATGCAAAGATTTCCTCTTTTAATAGCATCCAATTAAAGCAGGAGTACCCCAAGACATTGTATATTATTTATACAGCAGAAATACAGACAACCACTCTTACAACAACCTCAACCTTTGCTGATGATACTGCTATCCTAAGTCGGTCTAAATGTCCTCTTAGACCAACGCAACACTTATTAGATCACCTCGTGCTTTTAGAACATGCCACAAACAACTGAAGTAACATATCTAGGAGTCCACCTGAATAGACGAAGCTAAGAGAAATCATTTGAAGTTTAATGCTAACAATCTACATTTTCTAATTAAAGCCCGCTCGCCACTAAAATTAGTGTACAAAATACTCTTGTATAACACAGTCCTCAAACTAATTTAGACATAAGGCTCCGAGCTATGGGGAAACGCATGTGTTAGCAACTTAGAAATAATCCAGAAAGCTCAATCAAAGATATTGAGAACTATAACAGGAGCACCGCGGTATATACGGAATGCAAATATTCACAACGAATTAAACATAGGCTTAGTTAAAGACGAACTCGACAAGGTGAAAGCAAAGTATAATCTTAAGCTTCAAGCCCATTCTAATGACGTTGCGCGGTATTTAATCTGGAACACTAGCTATACCCGCCGCCGGCGAAGAGACATCCCCACCCACCAACAATAGCTAGGACCATTATTGTAAGCAATTAAATTGTATTTAGTTAAAATATATATACCAGATTAATATTTGCCTAGTTGTCGTTAGTCTCTAAGAGAGAAGATTCGACAACTAAAACAAAAAAAAATACAAAAAAAAGAAACGATGCGAAAATGAGGCGCAAAATAAGAATATATTTTTAGCAATGTGCATGCCAAGTTTAATTCGATTAGTTTTTGCATTCTCTTTGTGCTGATGAGAATGCACGTAGGCAACGGTTTTCGTGGCAAAAGTTTTTTGACAAAGTTAAACGCTGGAATGGCAGTTAAAGACATTGCCAATGAGTTTATTGCAGGGGTGCTCAAAATTGTCTTACGGTAGTGCCCTTTACAACACAAATAAAAGAAAACACACGCACACATGTATCGACGCCGCTTTATTGCTGCAAGATGAACACTGAGAGAAAGGAAATATGTTTAATTCTTACATATAATGTTTATATTTATACAAATTTTAACAGTTGGTCAATAAAAGTATCAATATTTATATTTAATTAGTAGTAGATATTTTTAACAAAGCTTCCAGATAATTATTGGTTAAACGGCTTCGATGATTGGTATACCCTTGCAGAGGGTTAAATAATTTTGGTCAAAAGTGTGCATCGCAGTGAAGGAGAAATCTCCGACCCTATAAAGTATATACATATATTCTTGAGCAGGATCGCGTTCTGAGTTGATATAAGCATGTCCGTCTGTTCGTCTGTCTGTCTGTCCGTCTGTCTGTCCGTCTGTCTGCTTCTACGCGAACTAGTCTTTCATTTTAAAGTTATTGACTTGAAACTTTGCACGCAGTATATAAGCCGGGAACGGCCGACTATATCCTATAGCCGCTATATAACTGATTGATCGGCAATGCCATAACTTTGGTGTTTGTAAAGTTAGAAAGATGGGATTTTCAATGGGTTTTATTTTTGGCCAATCAATTCGACCTACCATTTCATAAGGATCGGCTGACTATATCCTATAGCTGCCATATAACGGAACGATTTGAAATACCATAACTTACAGAATATTCTGCAAGGGTATATCAACTTTGGCTCCGCCCGAAGTTAGCTTTCCTTTCTTGTTATACCCTTGCAGAGGGTATTATAATTTCAGTCAAAAGTTTGCAACGCAGTGAAAGAGACATTTCCGACCCTATAAAGTATATATATTATTGATCAGCATCACCAGGAGAGTCGATCTAGCTATGTCCATCTGTCCGTCCGTCTGTCCGTCTGTCCGTCCGTCCGTCCGTCCGTTTCTACGCAAACTAGTCCCTCAGTTTTAAAGCTATCTGTTTGAAACTTTTCCAAAAGTTGTCTTTCTATTGCAGGTAGTATATAAGTCGGAACGAGCCGGATCGGGCCACTATATCATATAGCTGCCATATAACTGAACGATCGGTAATGCCATAACGTTGGTGTTTTTAAAGTTAAGAAATTGAGATTTTCTATGGGTTTTATTTTTGGCTAATCAGTCTGACCTACCAAATTTCATAAGGATCGGACGACTATAGCCTATAGCCGCCATATAACTGATTGATCGGAAATGACATAACTTTGGTGTATTTAAAGTTAGGAAGTTGGGATTTTTTATGAGTATTAAGAATGCATCATATAAATAATTTTGGAGAATATAATTTACAGAATATTCTGCAAGGGTATATCAACTTCGGCTTCGCCCGAAGTTAGCTTTCCTTTCTTGTTTTTAATTAGTTTTCATGTTGAAAAACCACTTTCACAAATATATAAGCTTCCGAACATATTTTTGGCACCTTCCAATTTCCAGAAATTCCTATTAAATAGCATGCCTTTATTTCGGATTATTTATTTATTTATTTATCGGATTGTGGGTCACATAATTCCAATTGAACTTCCGCATTTTGATTAAGTATTTTGCAGGGCATTGGGATCTAAGAAATATCTAAACTACTTCTTTAAAGAACTAATATGGTTTTGAAATAATGTGAAATCATAGGTAGCAATTTTAAATTCGTAAAAAACTAATTTTAAGAATGGAAAAGAATATAATCTATCAAGTTGCAAGTCAAACTAAATTACACTTGGTTTTTTTTTAATCCTTCAATGGAATGTTCTTATTTTGGCCTTGAAGAGTACTGTTAAGGTAATTGAGGTGTGTTGTTATATCTGTAAAAAACCCAAGGCTTAGACTTTATTTCTTTTAAAAAATCGAAGTCATATTGAGATCTGTTCAGTTTACTGCTTGTCCCGATAGTTTGAGAGCGAACCGATTAGCTGATCGTTCGCTCATCTGGACCTGTGTAGGGCGAGGGCAGAGAAAAGGAAACGCAACCAGAACCAACAGTCTGCACGGTCGAACAACGCTGAACGCACGCCGCCGTTCTACGGAAATTTGCACTTTATCATACCCTTGTTAATCTTGGAATCAGAATAATTATAACGCTTTGAATTTATCCTTTTGTGTTTGCCTTTGCCTGGGAACCTCTCGTACAATGACCCCTCGTTGACTTAATACAAGGGGACACAACTGAACATGGTGGCCCATGAGGGGAACCTGCAAAGCAAATACAGTTCGTAAAAGGTTAATTAGAATTCCGTTAAATAAATTTCGATATATCGCGGCTGCGTCAGATCGACACGCCGGCTCAACGGAGCAGTGCAAAGAAGACGTCGATACATAAGCGCAACAACGGCAACCCGGACTTTGCAAAGCGCCGTTATCTCTTCCCTTCCTCTTTGTGGTGTGGTTCTGGTATGCAAGCTGAGTGAGTTACCAAGTTGTGTGCGAGACAAGTATTACAGATTTATCTATTACATAATTATTCGGGGTGGTGAGTTGCGCAGGCCTTAGTCTTACACCTGCCAACATGAAACCTGAGTCGGTTGATTTGGACAAGTTGGTGAATCTGCAATCAGATCGTCACCAAGCTCTCAGGTCTGTGTTACAGAATTTTAGGAAAGATTCGCTGGCGAGGAAAACTAAAATTTATCTCAAAAAAAGGCTGGACCAAGTGGAGGAATTACGAAACGCTTTTCGGGAGACGCACTCGGTGATCGTTAATTTGGATGGATTTAGTGATTCAAGTTACGCCACGAATAATTTCCAATCAGAATTCGAGGAGCGTTATATGGACGCTTATTGCGCTCTCGCCGAAGACTTCGACAGGCTTGGACCAGAAAATACTACGCCGACAGCAGCTGCCGGGAACGCCGACCCGGAGTTGCGAGTAAACATGCCGCAAATGTCGGTGCCTAAATTTTCCGGTGCGTGTGTGGACTGGCCAGGCTACTACGACGCCTTCACAAGTCTAATTCATAACAACAACAATTTGAGCAATGTCCAAAGATTGCACTTTCTCAAGGAGTCGTTGCCCATCAGTCGTGATAATGACATTCGTCAGATGCAGCTCACGGATGTAAATTATGCAGTGGCTTGGGGAATGATGATCAAAAGGTACAACAATCCTCGTCTCGTTTTCTCACACCATATGAAGGCAATCTATGCGCTGCCCAGATTGCAAAAGGACAGCACCGACTCTCTGCGGTCGATGCTAAGCACGGTCAATGTTTGCCTAGCTGCCTTCCGCCGCGTTCAAGCCTTGGGCGGGGAATCGCAGCACTGGTTGGTGCATTACTTAGCATCGAAGCTGCCCAAGGCGACCCACAACGCTTGGGAGCACCACCAAGGTAGCTCTTCAACGGTTCCATCCTATAGGGACTTGGAATCATTTCTGAACGATCGACTAGTCATAATGGATGCGATTGAGAATCGAAGCTCGTCGTACGACTCCAATGCTGGCCCAGGTTCAACAGACCCGATCAAACGCGTGCGAGTGCATAATGCATAGGAACAACCAAGGCGTTAGAATAACCCTTGTTATCACTGTGGCGGCGACCACATCCTGCATCGCTGTCCACCTTTCTTGGCGCTGGACTGTTACAAGCGCAAGGACATAGTCAGTAGGGCTAAATTATGCGTCAATTGCTTGAGCAAGTCGCATGTGGTCAGCGCCATCATACGTTGCTACATTTCCCGGTTCCGGTTCAGAACCAGCCTTCGAACCACGCTCAATCGCATCCTGCCCGGCCGCCGACACCGCAGTTTGTGACGCCGGCATCCAGAGAAACAGTGTCTGCACACAACATACAGTCCAGGTCGGATCAAAATCCGCACGCATCTTACAGATGTCATTCGGCGACGTCATCCAATCTTTCATCGAAAAATTTACTTCTCGCTACGGCTCGTATTATGGTACGAAACCCGACCAACGGCCTGCAAGCAGTAATAAACGCTCTCGTCGATCAAGGATCTGAGGCAACCATAGTATCTGAACACGTTGTTCAGTCCCTTCATTTGAAACGATCTGCCGTCAGAGCATCCATTTTTGGGGTAGGACAAGGGGGCGGTCGTCGTTGCAAGTATACGGTCAACCTTGAAACCAACAGTATTATTAATTCCAATTTTTCTTTAGATGTTGATTCCGCATATGTGCTCAATTCCGTAACATCCGGCCTCCCCAGTCTCAGCTTCTCGCCGAAGCGATGGGATCACATCCAAGGGCTCCCGTTGGCTGATCCAAGTTATTACAGATCGAAACGAGTTGATCTCATCTTGGGAGTGGACCTGTTGGCACAAATCATGTTGCCAGACACGAAGATTGGATTGCCCGACGAACCCATAGCCCGTTTGGGATGGATACTATCGGGGCGAGCAGAAGGAGTTACAAAATCTTCCGAACTACGCTGTCATCGAGTAACTTTGGACACGGAGTCATTGCTCAAACGATTTTGTGAAGTCGAGTCGGTTCCTGATCGTTCTACGGAAACGGAGGAGGATACATGGTGCGAAACATTTTTCCAGGAAACGCATGCACGTCGATCGGATGGCCGCTACGTAGTACGATTGCCCTTTAAAACATATTTGGATCCATCTTCAATATCCAACAATGGTATTGGGGAGATCTCATCAAATGGCGCTGAATCGGTTTATTCAATTGGAAAGGCGTCTGTCGAACAACCCGGGGCGGTGGAACAAATATGTGGAGGAGATCGAGGAGTACTTTTCGCTTGAGCAAATAGCGCCTGCTGTGGGCAGTGAGAGCAGTCTAATGAAGCGCACATCTTCGAATATACATGTAGCTTCATGCGTGCATCCGCACCATGCGGTCTTCAAGGAGGAACTCCATTCGACCAAACAAAGAATCGTATTCGATGCCTCCTCAAGAACTAGTAACGGGAGATCATTGAACGATATACTTTGTATCGGACCCACTTTGCAGAACGACATGTCATCGGTTATACTCAACTGGCGGAAATATCGTTTTGTTTTCACGGCGGATATACAGAAGATGTATCGCTGCATAGATGTTCACCCAGAAGACGCCCAATTTCAGCGGATTTTATGGCGGGCGGCGGATGGAGCCATCAATGTTTTTGCGTTATCGACATTGACCTTTGAGACGGCTTCAGCACCGTTCACAGCTATCAGAGTTATTCAACATCTGGCAAAGGATGAGCAGCTTTCATTTCCTATGGCCGAGGAGGTGCTGATGAACGAAATATATGTAGACGACATTCTTTCTGGAGGACATACTATAGAGGAGGCAGAGGATAAACGGTTGCAGGTATCGGGTGCTATAAAATCCGCGCGAAAGTGGGCCAGCAACGATTCGAGACTTTTGCTCTCGATTCCGTCAGAGTACCATTGCACTCAGACCCTGTTAAGTTGGGACACTACAGATCCCATAAAGGCTTTAGGAATGTATTGGCTCCCAAACAAGGACTGTTTTAAATACCAGATCAACTTCGGGATGCCAGTCAGCTCCACAAAGAGGATGATCCTATCCAGTATAGCAAGGTTGTTTGTCCCGCTGGGTCTCATTGCGCCGGTCATCATCTCGGGAAAACTTATATTGAAGGAGGTTACCATGGCCAAGACAAAGCAGGCAGATGGCACGCAGACGGTTGTGGACTGGGACGACGCGGTTCCTGATAATATCGCAGAGCGAGATAAGCATAGATCGGTGGATCCATTACACCCCATCTTCAATATCCTCAGTGCAGATGCATGCATTTTGCGACGGATCTTCCACATCTTATGCAGCCGCTGTGTACCTAAGAATAGAGCATCAGGACGGAAGATGCTATTCATCTCTGATGGCTGCAAAATCAAAGGTTACTCCCACCAAGCCCTTAACTATACCTCGAACAGAGTTAAGTGGAGCGGTATTGGCCATCAAATTGGTGAGGTGGCTAACTATGGCTAAGTTTCTGAGCTCCTTTCTGGTCCAGACTTTCTATTTTACGGATGCTACAATTGTGCTGCACTGGTTGCATGGAGACGTCAATAAATGGAAGACCTTTGTTGCGAATAGAGTCGCCTTCGTTTTGGATCATTCCTCGCCAATTCAGTGGAGGCACGTTAGCACTACCGAGAATCCAGCGGATTGCGCTACACGCGGTCTCACTCCCATCGAGCTAAAGGACTTCGAGCTGTGGTGGCGAGGGCCAGAGTGGCTCGTACGCAATCAAGACTGTTGGCCATCGACAGAGTTCGGTCAAATTGGCATTAACGACGCCGCTTTAGAGGCAAGGGTGGCAAAAATGCGAGTTCACCATGCAGTCCCGCAGCCGTCGTTTCTTGAGAGATTTTCAACACTCAGCCAGGCTTTACGAGTCACAGGCTACATCATGCGCGTCCGGCAAGGTAGACAGACGCCTTGGGCCCTTAATTACTGAAGAGCTCGACTACGCTTTATTAGCCGTCGTGCGTATCGTACAGCGCGAATCGTTCGCAACCGACTTGTCTGCAGTAAGGAACTCCAAACGGTTGCCCTCGCGGAGCAAATTATTAAATTTGTCGCCGATATTAGAGGAAGGCATCTTGCGGGTGAGGGGACGACTTCGCCATTCTAGTTTGTCGCACGAACGTCGTCATCCGATAATCCTGCCAAGCTCTCATCATTTCACCGAATTAGTAATACGTCACTCTCACTGTCTAACCCTGCACGGAGGCGCGCAGTTGACTTTGGCACACGCGCGTCAGCGTTTTTGGATCCTGACAGGACGGCAAGCAGTTCGAAGGGTCATACGCTTCAGAACGCGACCAACTACTACGGCTCAGCTTATGGGAGACTTGCCCGTTCATCGAGTCAACCCTCCTAGTCGACCATTCATTGCCACTGGTGTCGACTACACAGGCGCAATAGAGATTAAAGCAGCGCGTCTACGATACATCGCTGTGTTCATTTGTCTCGCAACCAAGGCGGTGCATTTGGAGGCGGTGACAGGTCTCACCCCGGAACATTTTTTACTGGCTCTGGACAGGTTCACCGGGCGACGAGGAATGGTTCAGCATCTTTACAGTGACAACGGTACCAACTTTGTTGGTGCAGACAATGTAATGAAGACGGTGTAAGGTCAGCTTCAAGCGGATTACGAGAAGCTCATCGCCCCCAAGCTTGCATCGCAGCGCATAACATGGCACTTCAATCCTCCTCTGTCACCTAACTTTGGTGGGCTTTGGGAGGCCAATGTAAAGTCGGTTAAACACCATCTAAAGAGAGTCATTGCAGATCGTCGGCTTACCTACGAAGAGTTGTCGTCGGTGCTCGTAAGCATAGAAGCGTGTCTCAACTCAAGGCCGCCTTGTCCTCTCACGGCTGACCCGGACGATCTAGAAGTGCTCACCCCAGCGCACTTCCTCATCGGAGACTCAATGCTGGCGCCGCCGGAATATCAACCACAATCCAGATCCTTCGCAGAGCAGTTCCTCATCCAGCAGACGATGATACGACATTTCTGGAAGGCTTGGAGTCGTGACTGGTTAGCGCATCTTCAGCAAAGGCCAAAGTGGTGTTAGGAGACCGAAAGCTTTCAGCTTAACGACCTTGTCATTATCAAGGACGACAGGTTCCCCCATCGCAATGGTTGCTCGGGCGTGTTATGGAGGTGCACCCAGGGACGGACGCACTGGTCCGGGTGGTGACAGTTAAAACTAAGCAGGGGCAGCTGAAGCCATCCGTAGCAAAGCTCTGTCCTCTGCCAATCCGCGCCTAGACGCACTCACCTCGATTTATAGACTGTATCTTGCGCACACATCTTGCTCTCATCTCTCCATATTAGATACCGAGGATACGCATCCGAGCTCGCTTATCATTACCACAGCCTGGAGAACCCGGACAAGCGAGGATGTCCCATGCTAGGTCTAGCATTAGCGGGCGGCATGTTCAGTTTACTGCTTGTCCCGATAGTTTGAGAGCGAACCGATCAGCTGATCGTTCGCTCATCTGGACCTGTGTAGGGCGAGGGCAGAGAAAAGGAAACGCAACCAGAACCAACAGTCTGCACGGTCGAACAACGCTGAACGCACGCCGCCGGTCTACCGAAATTTGCACTTTATCATACCCTTGTTAATCTTGGAATCAGAATAATTATAACGCTTTGAATTTATCCTTTTGTGTTTGCCTTTGCCTGGGAACCTCTCGTACAATGACCCCTCGTTGACTTAATACAAGGGGACACAACTGAACAAGATCCTTAAATTCCACCACATCCTTACGTAGTTCAAAAAATCGTTCTAGCCATTTTCCCCGACTTAGCCATCTCACCTCCATGAAAGTTATCCAACCCGTGAAACCAGGCCACTTATGGCTTTTATAAACAATATTTTCACACTCTGCATTTGCCTTTGTCTTTGCCTTTGGCTTTGACGTCCGATCTTGGTTCCCCAACTAAGTTAAACAAATCAAAATTAAAGTAAACATCAGCTTCCGTTCAAAGCCAAATCAATTGCTAATTGAATTTCACAATGAAATGCGACAGTTTCATCTTGAGCGCAAATTAAAATTAAAGTAAACATCAGCTTCCGTTTGAATCCCAATCAATTGCGCCCTTTTGCGTTTCAAGTTCCCACCAAATTGCATCGGTCAGCATAATTGAATTTCACAATGAGATGCAACAGTTTCATCCTAAGCTTTTAATCTAAACATAAATTGAAGTTCTAAAGTTCAAAAAGAAAAGCTCCTGGCCGAGGTTCATTGGATTAGATTTAGAAATAAAGGGGCAGTCCTATTTTTATCGCGACCGCGATCGGTTGTAAAAAATTAGAAAGTAACAACAAGTGTCTTGTATTAAAAGTGTTTAAGAATAAAAGGTTTATCACCAAATAAATATAATAAAAAAATTGTATTTTTTTAATTCATCGAACAACAAGAAATTTAATTGGCGCCCAACGTGGGGCTGCGTCTAAAAAGTTCCAAAAAATTATTTAATGAAAAATAAGTTAAATATAAACGGAGCTCGCGCGGCCAACAACTCTACATTTTTAGTGGAAAAATTAAAACATCCACCAAACGGCACAACCAAGTGGCAGTGATCGTTAACAAAAATTAAATGGAAATTAATAAATGAAATAATCCATTTAAAGGTGAATTTAAAATAAAGGTGGACCAAAATTTTAAACAAAACAATACAAGAACACAAAAATACAAATTAAATAAAAATAAAAAAAGAAACAATAAAATTAAAGAAGGAAGGAAGGCCATTCTCATTCTCAAGAAGGAAGATACCCTCAACATCATAGAAGGAAGACCCCATCGGGACAGTTTCGTGAGGAATTAATTTTCAATAATAACAAAAAATTATTTATTTTAAAAAGATTATAATTTAAGATTAGGGAATTGAGAAAAAATATTAAAAAAAAGAAAATTAAATAAACATTGATAAAAATAGTAAGTTAAATCGCGAACCTAGATTTAATAATTAATAAAGAAACAATTTGGAAGATTTAATAAATAGCTTTGGTGAATTAAATTTAAAAATGGCAACCGGAGGTTCAGCACCAAATTTTTCTGCAGGTAGTATAGCCACAGCGGGAGGCTTAACAGTGGAATTAATAAATAGATTAATAAATGTTCAGTTGAATGAAGTGACCAGGAAAATAGAAGGTTTAGAAGGAAGGTTAGCCACAGATGCAAACACTGTGGAAGATTATAAAATTCAAGCAATTGACCCAACTATAAAATGCGATACCACACTTGAAGTGGTAAAATCTTTACCAAAATTCACTGGGGAACCAACACAATATGTAGGATGGAGGGAAGCTGCAGAAACTGTAATGAGTCTTTATAAAATTCAAAGCGAACAATATTTTATTGCCTTAACAATTTTACGAAATAAAATTATGGGAGCTGCCCATGATGCTCTTACAAATCATGGCACCGTTTTAAATTTTCAAGCAATCTTATCTATATTGGACTTTATATATAACGATAAACGACCAATACATATTCTCGAGTCAGAACTAAGTATCCTCAGGCAGGGACGAATGACAGTTACAGAATTTTATAATGAAGTCAATAAAAAAATGACTTTATTAATAAACAAAACCATAATGACATACGGAAAGGAGAGCGTAGTTACCAAGGAAACAAACAAAATAATAAGGAGCAATGCTCTACGAATATTTATATCCGGACTAAATGGATCTATCTCAGAAACTCTTTTCTCATTAAATCCACCAGATTTGCCCAATGCTTTGGCAAAGGTCCAAGAATTAGAATCAAATAATTTCCGTGCTCAATTTGCAAATAGGTTTAATGGATTTAAAAATGAAAATAAATATCAGGGAAACAACTTACGATTTAATCAAATACGACAAAATAATAATTCTAATAAAATGGGAAATAATTTTAGTAATAACCAAAATTATAATTGGCCACAAAGGGGAAATTTTTGGCAAAACAATAATCAAAATAACAATCAAAAGCAACAAGCCGTCGAGCCAATGGATGTTGATCCATCGATTCAACTCCAGAATAAACCTTATAATAATCGGCAGCCGAATAATAATTGGCAGGGAAATAATAATCAAGGAAGGAATAATAATTGGCAGGGAAATAATAATCAAGGAAGAAATAATAATTGGCAGGCAAATAATAATCAAGGAAGATATAATAATAATTATTATCAAAATAATAATCGTTCTAATTATTATCACACAAATCAAAATAGAGAGCAAATTCAAGCTCAAAAAAGGGAACCAAATGGAACAGTAAATCAACCAGCTAATAAAATAACCAGATTAAATAATATTAATGAAGATCATTTTTTAGACCAGACCCCTACAGGGGAATGACTTATTTAAATAGGATAGACAGGAAAACAAAGAAGCAGTTAAAGATTTTAATAGATACAGGAGCCACTGCTTGTTATATAAAAAAGGGAATTTTTGAAAATAAAAATGAATTATCAATATACAAAAAGGTAACTACAGTTCATGGGTATTCAATTATAAAATATTATCATATTATAAATATATTTGAAACAAGACATTTATTTTATGAAATTGAAGGATTAGAATCTGACCTTCTAATTGGATTCAATTTATTAAGAAAAATTGGAGCTATAATAAATATAGGAAGGGGAGTTTTGGAATATAAAGGAAAAAAAGAAAAGTTAAAATATTATGATAATTAGGAAAAAAAATGAAATAAGCTTAATTGAAGTAAATAATATTCTTCCGTTAAAAGAATTTATTATAAAAAAATATTTCGATGATAAAAGTAGCGAAAAAACAGATTCATTATTTGTGGAAAATAGTGAGAAAAGCTTGGGACTCGAAAATCCTGAGAACGCCGACGTAGAAATATCCGTCAATAAAAATATCTTGGGAATTAAAAATCCTGAGAACGCCGACGTAGAAATATCCGTCAATAAAAATAAAAATATCTTGGGAATTAAAAATCCTGAGAACGCCGACGTAGAAATATCCGTCAATAAAAATAATAATATCTTGGGAATTACAAATCCTGAGAGTGCCGACGAAGTAAATACTGTCAAAAATCAAATAAATAAAAATCGTTTGAAATGTACAAATTTCAAGCCCGCCGTCGTTGAGTTATCCGACAAACAACAGATAAATAATTTAGGTACTAATCATTTAGACGAACTAAAAGAAAAAATAGTTTACTATATTGAAAAAGATTAATATGCAAATTCCTTTTAGAACAAATATAAAGGGAGAAATAAATCTTATTCATGACAGGCCAATATATGGGAAACAATATCCGTATGCTTTATCTGTCACGGACTTCGTGAATAGCGAAATCAGTAGAATGTTATCAGAAGAAATTATAAGGCCTAGCCGAAGCCCTTACATTTCACCAGTTCTGGTAGTCCCAAAGAAAGGAGAAAATCAAGATGGAAGCCGAAAATTAAGACTCGTTATTGATTATAAGAAATTAAATGAAAGTACCATACCTGACAGGTACCCAATGCAAGACCCATCAGTAATTCTATGCAATTTGGGAAAAGCAAGATATTTTTCAACAATAGATTTAGAATCAGGTTTTCATCAGATATTAATGAAAGAATCTGAAGTCGAAAAAACATCATTTTCAATAAATAATGGAAAATACGAATTTTTAAGAATGCCATTCGGACTAACAAATGCACCAAGAATTTTTCAGAGAGCAATGGACGACATCCTTAGAGAACAAATAGGGAAAACATGTCATGTCTACATGGACGACATAATAATATTCTCAAATTCGATTGAACAACATTATGAAGACTTAAACAAAATTATAAATATATTATTAAGGGCAAACATGAAAATCTCTTTAGAAAAATCAAAATTCTTTAAACGCGAAACCAGTTTTCTAGGATACATCGTATCTTATAACGTCATCAAGACAGACACAGAAAAAATTGACACCATTAATAAGTATCCGCTTCCAAAAAATATTCGGGAACTAAGAAACTTCCTAGGCCTTACGGGCTATTATAGAAAATTTGTTTTAAATTACGCCTTCATAGCGAAACCTCTAACCAAATATCTTGGAGGTCATAATGGCAAAA